GAAAAAATAATTACAAAAACATAAAATACATTATAAAAAGTTATAATTTTTTTTTATTAACTTGTAATTATTTTACACTAACACAATGTCAGTGTAACTGTCCCAAAACATAATTCATTCTCCATAATAAGAAAACGATTATTATAAATGACCACTCCACTGCATTCAATTTCATAATGAGATTAAAAAACAGTCGTAGCATTCTTTTTCTTTGTTATTTATTTATTCCAGTGAACTGCAAAACTAATATGAACAATGAAAGGGGATTTCGACCCTGTCTGTCCAGCATTCATCATTTTGCATAAGGATGACAAAAAAGTGCTATGTATGTGGGGCCATTTCCATAAATAAGCTAAAATAGTACTAACTCCCGGTTCACAATCGCGTGAAAGTTGGTAAATCTTAAATTCGTGATTACAAAAAGCGATTTTGATTAAGAAATCGCGGTTACAAAACGCGATTTTATCCAAAAATTTTTTTTTCTTTTAAACTCGTGGTTCTAAACCACGATTTTATAAAAAAAAAATTTCTTGAAACTCGCTATTTCGATCCACGCTTTTTAACCAAAATCTTTTCTTCTGAACTCGTGGTTGTGAACACGAGTTCATTTACATCACAAACCACACCACACAGCCACACCACACACTCTTCCTCTCTGACACATCACTCACACACACATCACACTTACATCAAAATAAAAATAAATAAATTTTAAGAATTCAATAAATATAAATAAATAAATATATTATTGGAAAAATATATTTTTTTTTTCAAATAAATTTTTTTCAATTGTTTTTTTAATTAATTTTTTTCCAATTAAATTTTTTTCTAATTTAATTTAATTGGTAAAAAATTTAATTGGAAAAATATATTATGGGGAAAATATATTATTGGAAAAAAATTTAATTGGGAAAATATATTATTGGAAAAAAATTTAATTGGGAAAATATATTATTGGAAAAAAAATTAATTGGAAAAAAATTTAATTGGAAAAATATATTATTGGAAAAAAAATTAATTGGAAAAAAATTTAATTGGAAAAATATATTATAGGCATGCAGTGATTGTAATATTTTTTTAAGTCATTGACTGTAATACTTTCTTTTTCTTTTTTTTCTTTTTTCGTTTGAGGAAGTGCACAAGTTGAATTATGTTGAAAATTTATAAAATTTTAAACCGCCAAACCGATTCGCATCCATCCACCAAACCGCCAATCCGCTCAATCCACATCCGTCGTATTGGCAGACGGATGCGGATTGATTTTCTCCAATCTGCCAATTTGGCGGACGAATAGCGGATTGGAGGTTCCATGGCCGCAACCGACCCGCGCCCACCCCTACATAATACTATTCATAATCCTGTCCTATATTCTTTAAGGAGAATTACACTAATGGTTCTTATAATTTAGAGTTTGTATCACTTTAATTCCTAACATTTTAATTGTAATATATTGGACCTTAAATTTTAAATTTTGTTCTAAAATTTTAAGTATGATATATTTGACTTTAAATTTTGAATCTTGTTCTAAATAAAGACAATTGAAGACACTATTGCTCTATTTCAAGGAAAAAGTCACCATTTTGATTAAAATATAAATTAGTTTGACAAAAATAAATATCAAAAAATTATTTTTGAAATTTTTAAAATTATTTCTACTCAACAAAGTTAAAATTATATAAAAATAATAAATCTTTTACATTTTTATTTATTTATTTTTTGACCAAATTAATTTTTAATATGTGTTTGGATAATGATCATATAATGGGTGGTTATTTTTATAGATATTTTTAGATGATTATCATGTAATAGATGGTTGTATTTGTTGTTAATAAATATTTTTTGATGATTATTATGTAATGGATAGTCATTAGACTTTTAATGTGTAATCAATATGTTTAATATATGAAATATTTTTAATTTTGAATTTTTTTAATTTAATGAATTAGTTTAATAATGATATTAAAGTTGTCGCCATATTTGATTTTTGAAAAAATAGAAACTAATTTAACGAAAATAAATAAAAAAAATTATTTTAAAAAATTATTTCTACCATCCCAAAAGATAAAATTATATAAAAATAATGTGTTTTTAATTTTTTTCACAAATTTAATTTTTAGTTTCTTAGAAATTTTTTTTGAAAATCAAACCAAACAGAACTTTATTACCAAGAAAGTTCTAGCATTGTTCATTAAAAAAAACCTATTACATTTCAAACGATATATATAAGTTAAGAGTGATTATATTTACACCACTAGTTTATTTATTTACACCCTTTATATGAGACCCTTTTTTTTTTTTTTTTTGTTAGTTTTACTTATGTGTGAAATCACCTTCAAGGACAAAAGACTAAAATTAAATATATTTTATTATCTCCTTGTACCCCTTGCTCTTCAATCCCTACTGCTCTTCTTCCCTTCTCAGTTTTTCTTCTCTATTACATCTCTTTTTAAAAAGTGAGAATCATAATATTTTGATCATAGATGAAAATAATGGATGAAGAAACAATGGTGAAGAACTATCAAAAAAGTGAAATGATGAGTTTTTTAATTTATTTTATTTTTTTGACAAGTTTTTGTTTCGTTTTTTGAGAGAGTTCTTCAACTTTTGTTCGGTGTGCCAAAATCGAACAAAATAAAATAGTTCAGAATCACATTGTTGAACAAAAAATATATGTTCGGTAATCCACTGCCAAATAAAAGATACATTTCCAGTAACTCAAGGCCAAATATTTTTAATTTGTTCAGTTACTCATTACAGTGCATTTTCAATTTATTTATTTATTTATTATTATTATTATTATTATTATTATTATTATTATTATTATTATGTTTTTGTTTTTGTTTTTGTTTTTTGAAATGATTATGCTTCTACTCATTGTAGTAATGTAAGTATAATCATCCGGTTGCTGAACATCTTAAAGGGCACTCATTTGGTGGTAGATTATCTGAGAAGGAAACATCTTTATTAGTTGACATGTCAAAGAATATGATGCGACCAAAAGAGATATTAATTATATTGAAACGAATATATGTCTTTAATGCGACGACAATGAAGACAATTTACAACGCATGTAAAGCGATAGGTGACTGGAAAAAATTATTTTAGTTCGGCAACATGACACTGGAGTATTTTAATTTGTATAGTAATGTATCACTGAACAGACACTCCACAAATGGGCTCCAACTAATTTGTTGTTAAGTAAAGTAAAATCATCGAATCGAATGATAATAAATGGTTGGAAAAAATTAGTTTGTTTGGTAACACGACACTAGAGTAATTTAAATTATTTAGCATTGCATTACCAAAAGCTATCGGTGCAAGAGACAAAACTAAAAAGGTTTTGAAGAATTTTTAGTTTAGGGTTAGTTTTGGTAGTATAATGGGTGTAATGAGAATCACATTTTTTTAGTGGTGTAATGAGATGGAAGGTGTAAAAAAATAATAGGAAATATCATTTTACCCTCCAAACTGTCACACGTTTTTCAATTTGACCTTCAAATTTTGATTCATATCAATTTTGCAACCAAATTTTAGAAATTTTGATCGATTTAGCTCCTGCCATCACATTCCGTCTACAATTGGACAGAATGTGCTAACGTGACACCAAAGTTCATTTGAAATTTTATTTTACCCCCAAACTATACCTTAAAAATCAATTTACCCTCCACATCAGCACATTTCGTCAAATTGTAGACGGAATGTGACGACAGGGGTCAAATTAATTAAAATTTTAAAAGTTTGGGTGTAAAATTAATATTAATCAAAGTCTAAGGGTCAAATTAAAAAATGATAGTTTGGAAGGCAATATAATATTTTCTCAAAAAATAAACTAGTTGTGTAAATAGAATCACTCATAAGTTAACTCACACAAAATAAATTATACAACTTCACCTTTAAAATGAACCATTTGCATTGGAAACATCTTTGGTTGTTCTTATTTAGAACAATATTCAAAATTTAAAATCAAACGTGTAACAATTGAAAAATCATGAAGTAAAGTGACATAAGTCTTAGATTACAGAGACTACTAATGTAATTCACTATATTCTCCATTTCATTCAATCGTATAATATATTATAACTCTCTCAGTAATCCCATGCTATCAATAATCAGATAAATAAACATTGATAGTGTTTGATTCACTAAAATAAAAATAAAATGAAATGATTATTTTAATAGGATGTTCACTATCACTTATTATAAATAAAATCATATAGGAAAATAACCTGATAGTGAAATCAGGAAAAAATAATTACAAAAACATAAAATACATTATAAAAAGTTATAATTTTTTTTTGAAAAATTTACCCATAAGTCCTAGTTTCTGAAAAGTTAAACTATTTAGTCCTAAAAGTTTTCTTATGCTCCATTTAGTCCCATTTGCACATCAATCTAATGTTTGAAACATTAATCTGATGTTTGGAATCTAATGTTCGAAACATTAATCTGATGTTCGAAATCTAATGTTCGAAACATTAATCTGATGTTTGAAACATTGTAACGAGACCTTTCAGTCTATAAGAAAACTTTTAAGACTAAACTGTGTATAAGTTATTAATTTGGGATTTATTGGTGCATCCCCTTTTTTTTTTTATTAACTTGTAATTATTTTACACTAACACAATGTCAGTGTAATTGTCCCAAAACATAGTTCATTCTCCATAATAAGAAAACGATTATTATAAATGACCACTCCACTGCATTCAATTTCATAATGAGATTAAAAAACAGTCGCAACATTCTTTTTCTTTGTTATTTATTTATTCCAGTGAACTGTAAAACTAATATGAACAATGAAAGGGGATTTCGACCCCGTCTGTCCAGCATTCATCATTTTGCATAAGGATGACAAAAAAGTGCTATGTATGTGTGATGGGATTAACAAAATTACTATTATTATCCACCAAAATGAACTGATCTACAAAATGTCACCCCCTCAATGAAATGGTAAAAATAACATGAGAAATTCCATATCAAATGCATAAAACATTTAAAACAACTGCAAAAAGGTTTCTGTCCCACGTATAAACTAGTCAATCAAATCTCTCTCATGAACAGCATGTATGCAGATGTTGGCAAAAATGTTCCACATTATTAAAATACAACTTCAGCAGTGGCAAAAATAGCTTACACAAGTAACTAAAACCTCATTCTTCGTATGTTTAGCGTTTTAAATAATTAAGTAATTAGATCCAAAATACTAACATGAATAAAAAATTAACTCAAAACTTCATTGTACTTGAAAACACAATCATAAAGCCTTCCCCCAAGGAACTGGGCAACCTCTGGATGCTTCACCTGTATATAGAATAAAGGAGCAAAGATAAGCCAAAAAAAGAAAAGAAAAGCAAGAAAAAATAATGAATTCCTGCATTAAGTAACTGAAATCATAAGAAAAAACAAAGAACATAACAAAAAGTCATTACCATCCCAATCTTAAGGGAATCACACTTGAACTGAGCATAAAGATTTGTCTCGATTCCACGACCCTGCCAAAAGAAGTGAAGATAATATAGTTTGTGGAAAATTCCATATACAAGCAGTAACCAAGTCCATCCACATAATAAGAAGTTAGAAACTCGAAATTAATTATTTATCAATGTCCTGGCCTAACTTCTAAATAATATCCATATTATCTTATGATAGAACCAAACCAAAGTCTTGTATCCCAATCAATTGCCCCCAACCCCCACACAAAACCAAAAAAAAAACTTTTCAGTTAACATTGATCATGTCATGCTTCCTTACTGCTGCATCTATTTGTTTTACCCTCAAGTTGTGTATCCATGTTAGCCCCCCTAGTATTTCCATTAATAGTGATCATATAACTCATCTTAGTCTGTTCTCTCTCAACTTATCTTCAATTCGTGAAATTGTAGCATGCAAATCCCCTCCTCACTTAGGCATTTTCAAGCCTCAATAGTGATACCATCAAGTGCTAAAGTCTTGCATGGTTTCATATTTTTCAGTGCGACTTCCACCTCAAGCTTCCTTATTCTACAGTAAAACTTGTGTTGTCTAGTTCCATAAGATATACCATATTCCTCTCCTCTTGTGCTTTCTAAATGTTTTTCATTTAATAATTTCTCAAAATAAATTTACACATTTATTTCATCTCCTCATCCTTCAATAACATCCTCTAATTCTCACTTTTTATACATTTAACCTGATTAAAGTTCCTAGCTTTTCTTTCTCTCAATTTAGCAAGTTTGTAAAAAAAAAAAAAAACAATTCTCCATCTTTACCATCTAATTTAGCATAAACATTCATATAACTCATCTTAGTCCGTTCTCTCTCAACTTATCTTCAATTCGTGAAATTGTAGCATGCAAATCCCCTCCTCACTTAGGCATTTTCAAGCCTCAATAGCGATACCATCAAGTGCTAAAGTCTTGCATGGTTTCATATTTTTCAGTGCAACTTCCACCTCAAGCTTCCTTATTCTACAGTAAAACTTGTGTTGTGTAGTTCCATAAGATATACCATATTCCTCTCCTCTTGTGCTTTCTAAATGTTTTTCATTTAATAATTTCTCAAAATAAATTTACACATTTATTTCATCTCCTCATCCTTCAATAACATCCTCTAATTCTCACTTTTTATACATTTAACCTGATTAAAGTTCCTAGCTTTTCTTTCTCTCAATTTAGCAAGTTTGTAAAAAAAAACAATTCTCCATCTTTACCATCTAATTTAGCATAAACATTGCCGTATGCTTTTTAACTTAGCATCTTTAATTGTCCTTTTAACCTCCTTGTTAGCTCAATTATATCTATTGATTTTTCCTCATTTTTATTCTTTTTATCACTTTTTAAAAATTATTATTATTTTGTTTTAAATACAGCTTGTACCTTGTCACACTGCCACCAAGTTTCTTTAGATATAGGACCTTATTTTTATCCTTGACCAGAATATGTGGCAAAGTGATATATAACACAAACTATAAAGATACTTAAAGCTAATAAAAATAACTAAAAGTACATAATGGAGCCGGCATTTCTACTTGTTAATATTGCTTTCTCATTCTGTTTTAGCATCCACTAGGATCCCCCATTGTATAAGGTTTTTGGCACTAGATTCACTTGAGTTGGACAATGCAGGCAGCTGTTACTTGAGAAGGTGAATTTCTCACAAGGAATAAGCAAGAAGCAGATTCTGAAAGGAAACATGGAAAATAAAAAACAGGACTTATGGGTCAATAACTACAAGTTGTTTCAAAACACAGGCAAAAACCCAAGTGGAGCAATAAAAGATTACAGGGGAAACCTTACATGTCAAAAGAATTACCAGCTAACATACAACAGAAGTAAAGAAAAAGGATCCCACATTCAGCCTTTTTTAAAAGTGGATTAATCTGTGATTTTAATTACTAGAGCTTCACTTCAACACATTTATCCAAAATTATGAATAAGGAATCCCAAGAGCTCTCAACAAGTTTCACATTGGTTTAGCAACAAGCATCCCAGAAATAATTTCTTTTTGAGAAAGAGTTTAACAAAACAAAAAACTTTTAACAATTTAATTCAATCATTGCACAAGTTGGGAATGTGATCGTACAATGTAAAGGATTGCACTGCATTAAAGACCATCAAATGCAGTCACAAAATTCTCAAATTGAAAATTTTCTCTAAAATCATTTATATATGTAGATGAATTCTTGCAGTCTTCATGTCTTTGTTATGTACAAGAACTTACTTTGATTCACTTGAATGGTAACCAATATTATTTATTTATTTATTTTTTTTTTGTGCAACAACAAAATTTTATTAAAAAATAAAAGTAAAGAGGACAAAGAGTCCTCATACAAAGAGAGAGAAAGAGAAAGAGCAAAACAAAAACACAAAACTCATAGCCCTAGGGAAGGCAAACAGCAGCCCCATCCCTAGAGATCAAGAACAAAGGGACTCCTTTAAAAGGAGGGGATACAAATGCCCAAAATGACGCCAAACATTCTATGAAATCACCTTTAACAAAAACGCAGAAGGCTGGCTGATCCAAGTCAGAATATTAGAATTTAGTATTGTCTAGATCAACTAGTGCTGTAATTCAATTTGAACTGAACTTTTGAGGCCAGAAGTAACGAAGGAGATAAACAAAGGTCAACAATGAAATGAGCTTTAATATATTAATAATTCTTTGTTATGGTGAGCACTTACCATTCCTACCAAAATGACCAAGTCTGCATCACTTGCCAAGAAGGCAAGTTCTTGGGATATTCTGGCGAGATCAATTACCTGCAGATGAGCAGGAGTGGGGCCATAATCACAGAGCTACTACAATCTAGATCTTCCAATCAGCGCATGACGTCAGAGAGGACAAATTAACCTTTGAGACTACCAATTAGAGCATTTTACGTTTCTTACCGGCAAATCATTACCAGAATTGGCAATCAAAAGGTTGGAAGTATCTACCCCCATAAGCTGCCCATGTTCATCCTTCAACTGGTAAATTAAAAATTAGCATATCAAAGTCAAACCAAGAATCTGAAAGTATCACAGACATCCAAAAGAAAATTGTTTACTACCTTCGATAAAATCTCAATTAGTTCAGGGTAAGTAACATCATTGATAGAAGGTAACTCATTAGCCGCCAAGACAACCTGGATTACAAAAGCAACAATTTAAAATGGGCTCAAGAAAGCAACCAACCACATTAAAGAGCATATCATACTGCAATCTAAGCCTGTGTTTAGTTGGGGGGTTTGGGGAGGGATTTGAAAGGAAAAAGGAAAAAGTGTGTGAAACTAGGTGAAATGTAAAGTTATTTTATTTACATTTCACCTACCTTTTCCCCTTTTCTTTCCAAATCTCTTCTCAAATCCTCCAATCAAACACAGCGTAAGTGAAAAAGATATATTGGACATGATGAAGACCAGGCAATTACATGAGATAGTACTTTCGAAAATGAAGATAATGCCCTCTCAAATGTTTAAAATCAAAACAAACAAATTCCCAGCAACAACGCACCATCATGCTAGATAATTCATGCAAAAGCAACCTATTGTGAGAATATACTTGCCTAAACGTCTATATTTTTAGGAAGTATTGTATTTTAAGAATTTGGAATGGTTGCGATTATGTAAATATTCTATGTAATTCGTATTTCCTTTTTAGGCTTAGGGATTAGAGTTCTATATAAGTGATGTACTCTTTGTATCAATTATTCAGTCGCATATATAGAAATATTCAGAAACTTATATGGTATCAGAGCTAGGGTTTCATTCGAACTCGTTGGTCGAAGTCCTCCCTGTGTTGTGAAGGCCTTCTTTGTGGTTCTTCGAAGTTGCGACATCCTTCTAATCTTTGGTTTGAAGTCGCGACCCTCTACTCTGGTTCGTCTTCATTTTTCACTCTCTCGTAAGGGTCGTTCTCCCCTGCACAAGCCTGCTCTCCCTCTGGTTCAGCATCGCGACATCCAGGTTCGCGATCTCTCTCTCGCGTCTTGGCTTCAGGTCCTTTCCTAGTTTACGATCTCTCTCTCTCTCTCTCTCGTCTCGGCTTCAAGTCCTTTCTTGGTTTGCAATCTCTCTCTCATCTCGGCTTCAAGTCCTTTCTTGGTTTGCAATCTCTCTCTCTCATCTCGGCTTCAAGTCCTTTCTTGGTTTGCTATCTCTCTCTCGTCTCGGCTTCAGGTTCTCTCTCTATTTGATATTTGTGGATAACTGGGTCAAAACTCCGGTTATTATAATTTTGACCTAACTAGGTTCTGGTTATTATAATTTTGACCTAACTGGTTCTAGTACATTTCATTTAGGCCTTTATAATTTTTTCATAATATTGTCACCATGTTAGACGACATAATTCAATCTACAACTTGCAAACTTACTGGAGCCAATTATGCTTATTGGTCCACTGTTATGAATTTTTTTTGCTTGGTCAATAAAATGGGAATATGTTTCTGGTTTTGTTTCTTGTCCATTGGATCCAAAAAAGGATGGATATGAGGCTGCCTGTGACACTAGGGATTGTGATAATGCCCAAGTTCTGACTTAGTTTCATAATGCTATGGATGATCATGCTGTGGATGATCGTGTTGGGATGACGTTCTTCAAATATACTACTGCCAAGGAGGTTTGGAACTATTTACAGGGGGTTTATCAGCAGTCCAACTTTGGCAGACGGTATGAGTTTGAAATAGCTATCTAGAGTGCTCGTCAGCAAGATCAGTCTATTTAGGATTTCTACATTGAGATGATGGGACTTTGGGATCAAATTGCTCTCATGGAACCGTCGAGTCTTAAGGTACTAGATGCCTATCTGTAGTTTCGGGAAGAGGGTTGTTTGATGCAATTTTTAACGGCTCTTTTCTCTCAGTATGAGGCTATCCGTGATGGCATCCTTCACCAGTCTCCTCTTCCTTTTGTGGATGCTATTGTTCGTGAACTCCTTTCCAAGGAAACTTGTCTTAACATGGCTAGTCAGACTTTGTCTCCATCTGTCTTCTTGACTCCTGCCAAACCTCCGTTGCTATTGACCCCACCTCTTCAGGCCTCCACCAAACCCAAGAAAAGGGCCCTTGACTTTAGATGAGTGTGCTTTCTGCCATCAGAAGGGCCACTGGAAGTACAACTGTCCAAAGAAGGAGCTGTGCGACTTCTCAGCACTCTCAGTGTTTTGAGCTCCTACTCAGAATCCTTTTAGCCCTCCAGCCGCTTATACTGTATCTGCTCCGCCTCCAAATCTTGACTTGGCTTCCTTGAGTGCTCGAATTGCTCAGCTTCAGCATATCTAGTTTACCTCCCAACCATCCTCACCTGCTTCCGCTCTCACCTCTCTTCATTTAGGTTTGCTTGGTTCTTCTTCAGATATTTTCCATTTAGTTTGGATTTTTGACTCTGGTGCTTCTCATCATATGACTTCTCATCTCTCTTTACTTCATGACTGTTATTCTCCTCCCTTTCCTATTACTATTAACATTGCCAATGAGTCTGACATGTTTGTCCTATTTGTTGGGTCTGTTCAATCCTCTGCTATGTCTACTGTCACTATATCATCTGTCCTTTATGTTCCTCAATTATTTATTACTTTACTCTCTATTAGTCAACTTGATGCTTCCAGTTATGATGTTATCTTTTCTTCTTCTGTCTATTATGTGCAGGATCGACAGTCCAAGAAGCAGATTGGGACTGATCGTAGAGTTGGAGACCTCTATGTGGTGGAAAGTTTGCATCTTCCTCTGTCCACCTCCCCAATTAGGATTATTGGTAAAGTTGCTCCTAGTTAAATTGCTAAATATCAGGGTGTAAACTTGCCAAAATGATAGCTTTACCATTTAATAAAAATACTTCTATTTCAATTATCCCATTTTCTCTTGTGCATACTGATGTCTGGGGACCCTCTCATATTCTCACTAAAGGGGGCTTTGCTTACTATGTTTTTTTTTTGTCGATGATTGCACTCGCTATACTTGGGTTTACCTTATGACTCATAAATCTGACTTCTACCAGATATATCATATTTTTCGGTCTATGGTCATTACACAGTTTGGGTCTATTATTAAATTGTTACGTTCTAACTTGGGTGGGGAATATTTTAAAACTAAGTTCTGTGAGTATTTGGCTACCATGGGTACCATTCACTAAACATCTTGTACTGATGTGCCCGCTCAAAATGGTCGAACTGAGCATAAACACCGTCATCTCCTTGAAACCGCTAGGTCTCTTATTCTCTCTGCCTTTGTTCCAGCTCTGTTTTGGGGTGAAGCAGTTCATACTACTGCGTTTCTCTCTCTGGTCGGTCCCCGTATAAGACTTTGTTTTCTCAACTTCCCCATTACTCCCTCCTTCATGTTTTTGGGTCTGCTTGTTTTGTACTTCTTTCCTGAAAAGATAAGACCAAACTTAGTGCTCCGTATATCTTGTGGTTTTTTTGGAGTTACAGTTTTACTCAAAAAGGCTACCGTTGTTATGATCCTATTTCTCGTCGCCTTTACGTCTCCCGCCATGTTGCCTTTCTCTGTTGTTAGAATCATACGATTCGCGATTCAAATCGTACGATTCGGTTCAATACGCATACAAATTGATACGAATTGGTAGAGAGAGTTACCGCAACCGTTACACTACGGCCTTTACACCCCGCAACCGCAACCGCAACCGCAACCGCGCCACCGCCACCGTTACGGCGACCGCAACCGCTTTTTAAAACCTTGGGTTCAATACACATACAAATTGATACGAATTGGTAAAGAGAATCGTAAATGGCAATGAATCGCACATGTATCGCTGATTCGATCATCGAATTGTAAGAATCGCAGAATCACATGATTTTGAAAATCACCAGGTAAACTCGCAACCAGTTGGACCCGAATGGATTTCTTTGATTTTTGATGTATTTTTTTGCTTTATTTTGCTAGTGAATAGATCGACTAGGTCTTCTAAGACCTTTTAAGTTATTATATAATAATGCCATTGTCTTTTGGTTTGACTATTAACTCTCAAACAACAAAACCCTAGAATTTTTTTTTCTTTTTCTTTTTTCTTTCTCCAGTTATGAAGAAGTAGCTTTTGATGTTGGGTCCTTGCGCCTTCAACTTTAATTAAATCTTGAAGCTTCAACAAACTTTTTTGAGGTGTTGTGCTTGGACTTTGAGCTTCTATTGGTCCACAAACTCCATACGATACTGTTTACTGTACAAGAACTGAATTGAATAGTTTATAGTTTGCTCACTTTGAGCCTTTTTATTACTTTAGTATCTCTGTTATTGCTATCCCTGTGCTATTGGTGTTGGAATTTGGAGTTTTGAGTTTTTAATTGCTCTCTTTATCAAGATTAAAGAATGGTTGATAATTTATTTTTTTCTGTATATATATTTTTTTACTTTTTAAATACATCTAAAAATTTAGTATACTTTTGTATTTGTTAATTTTTTTTTCCTTAGAATCTATCACAAATATTTTACCTTTCAAGTACACACCTAAATTAGGTACATCTAAATATTAAAAAATAATAATTAAGATATGAAAAAAAAAAATCACTAAAATAACATAACACAACAAAAAACCAAACAACATTTTCATTGCGTTTAGTCTAAATATTTCATATTTGTAAGATAAATGTAATATTTAAGTTGCAGATATGTTTTTTTATCTACTTTTTTAAAATGACTAAATCTTTACGATTCACTATTCAATTGGATTCGCGATTTGGTACAAGAACATTTCGATTTCCGATTTGACAACTATGTTGCCTTTCTTGAACGCCAGTCTTACTTTCATTTTCCTCCTATCATTGCTCCGGTTTCTAAAGAGGATTTGGTTCGCATTGATCCATTTATCTCTGAGGTCCCTCTTGATGAGTACATCTCTACTATTCCCCTTGAGCTTATTCCTTCTTCTCCTACCACCCCTCATGTTGAGTCCCTTCCTACTGAATCCCGTGAGTCTGTTCCCTCTTCTCCTCCTACACCCCTTCCTACTCCTTTGTCTCTTCTGTTGTTAGTCTATTCTCGTCGCAAGGCTCTTCCTTCACCAGTTGTCTCTGCTCTTGCTACTGATCCCCTACTTTTGACGACGCTGATCTTGCCCATCGTAAGTATCTCCTTCACAATCATAAATAGGTAGTCAAACTTGATTTTGCTAAAACATGTTTTTTTCCTACTTAT